TCTTGGGCACGCACGCACACGCGCCCAGCGTGAGTAAGCAACCGGGTCTGGACTTGAACCGTGGTCGACTACATGAGAGTCCAGCGACATAGCCATTACGCTAACTGCTGGTCCCCTACTTGGTTCTGATCAATTGGTCCTAGATGGGAAACTGTTGCCAGATCTTCCTACTTTGCCAGAGAAATTGGAGATGCAAATTTTTGTGAGCGGTGGTACAGCATGCTGGTTAGGAGGCACACCGCATGGTTTTGACCTTGGTACTGCAAGTCAGTAGCTATTAGACTTTGGGAAGTTACTTAACCTCTTTGCTCATTGGTTTGCCTCTCTGTAGAGAGAGGATAATAATAATATCTATCCTATCATGCTATTGTGAGGATTAAATGAATTGAACATACACGAAACTATGAGAACGTACTTGTCTTACAAGAAGTCACCTACACATATTTGTTATTATAAAATACATGTATTTCATCAAAGTTAAAATATTTCATTACTTAATATAACAAAATAAAAAGCCTCAGAATTTTAAATGCTGACAACTCAATTAATTAAAAAAGAAAAACACCACTCTATTCGGGAAAAAAAAAGTGAATACAAGCTTTATACAATCTGTAGGTTGCCAGTTTGTAATACCTGGTCTAAAGGATTTATAACATAATTTTGGAACTGTGTTAGTATGAGATGTTGTGGGAAGATTATTATCCAAAAAATCAGAATATGTGGAATTTAAATTTCTAATTTTATTTTAATTTAGGATTTACCAATTCATTGTGGGTGAACTTTCTCATAGTATTTTGTTTTGTTCTGTTTAATTCCAAAAATACCAAAGTAGTGAAAGAATATATATGACGAACACTCAAATACACTCTACCTAGATTTAACAGTTGCTAACATTTTGTGTCCTCCCTCTTTCACTTTTCTCTTCTCTCTCTCAAAAACCACCTCCACCTCCCCACACATACATACAAATTTTTGTCTGAAACATTTAAAAATAAGTTGTTGATAATACTTCATTCCTAATACTTCTGCATATATTTCCTAGCAATAAGGATCTTTTACTTAGTAGTTACAAATAATAGTATCTCACCTAAGAAAACGAAACATGATTTTCCTTTTTTTGAGAGAGAGAGATTTTTGCTATAGGGCATGTACGCTCACCAGAGAGACAGAAATCACCCTTTTAAGTTTGGTTTGGGAATGGCGGTGGAGTTAGAGGTAGCAAGGATGAAAATACTAGAGTTAGGTCTTGGGGTTTAATAAAACCAATGTAATTTATTCTGCAAAAAGCTCTCAGGTAAGGTCCCTCGGCCTGGTCAGAGGCCAAGGGAGTCACACTCAGGGTGGGTACTGCTCATGTTTAAAGGGTCGTTGTCCAATAGGTGGTCCTCGTCAGGCCAATGAAGGTCACTGTTTCTGTTCGACTTTGGTGGGCGCGCCAAATGCTGAAGGGTGGGAAAGTCCGTTGGTGATGGCACACCAGATGCAGAAAACAGGAAAGTTCTGCCAGAGAGAATGTTTTTGCCATGTTTCTTTTCCCTTCCCCCAGACCTTACACATTCCTCAGGGGTGATGGCCACACCACAATCCCTTCTCTTTCATTCTCCTCTTAGGATCTTAGCATCCATGCACACGTGCACAATGTGAATCCCGGGTCTGAGACTCAAACTGTGGTGGACCATGTGGGAGTCCAGCGATATAACCATTGTGCCATCTGCCGATCCCTAAAAGTAATTTTCTAATATCATGTAACATGTCTATATTGAAAATTTCCCAGTTGTCCCCCAAAATGTAGTTATTGTGTTCATTTTAAATTTTGATCAAGGACCCTTTACTTTATATATATATATATA